GGGCTTTATGCCCTTGGCAGAGCCAGCCCCTCAGGAGGCACCTGCACAGTCCCGACCGCAGGAAGCTGTGGGGCAGAGGCTGGGGCTGCCCCAGGCTAGCCTCACCTCGATGTCCGGGACGCGCACCTGGCGGCATTCCCAGACAGGTGTTTGGCCTGGAGGCCAGGCAGATGCAGCAGGCCCACCTGGCCCCATGGTCGTCTCTGTCAACCCCGCCAGCCGGGGATGAGAGGGCTGGGCGCTGGTGACCCGGGCCGGGCTCCCAGAAGTTGGGCAGTGACGACACATCACCTCATTGCTCGCCAAACCCCCATTGGCTGAGCCGCGGCCCGCGGGGCGTGGCTTCTCTGGCTCAGAGTCCCAACACTCTCCGGTGAGGAACTGGCCTACTCCTCCGACTGCCACTCCCCACCCCCACCCCTGGCCCTGACAATCAGAAGAGACATTGCTGGGAGGTCCTGGGCAAGTCGCTTTACCGCCTCTTGCCTCAGTTTCCTCATTTGTGAAATGGGAGCAAGAATAAATGGGTTAATACAGGAAAAGTACTTGGCACAACCGGCCACTGTAAGTACTCAAAACTTGTTGCCAGTATAGGTGCAGCTGGCTGGTGCCTCACCACTCACCCTCTTCTCAGCATGCCAGGACAAGGGGCAACCACAAGCTAGTCCACGGTCCTGTGTGTTCTCAGAGCTGCCCAGCCAGAAGGGGTCTTGTCTGGGGTCTCTGGATCTTTGAAGGGGAGAAGTTGGCAAGACCAGCAGGTTCCCCTTGAGGAACAGGGTCCCCAGTCCAGACTTTCCCCACCCCTCCTTGAGGGTAGCCTTGGAAATCCCAGGCCATGGAATATAGTTTTGTCTCTTTGGTGGAAAAGATTTATAGCCATCTCTCACATCTTAGACTATGATGCATGAAGGGGCTTCAGCCAAACTTTAGTCTCAACTGGCTTTCCCAGTCTGTGCTGTTGGCCTCCCCTTGACTTTGTCTCACCCTCTTCCCCTCTCTCCTAACTCCTGCAGTCATGGAGTATTTATCGAACCATGCTCTTTATATATGTGATAAACCCATTTAAAAACAGATAGGCAGGTCTGTTCTGAAGGTGACTGACTGCAGGAAGGCCTATTCCCACTTTATAGATCCAGTACCTGAGGCTCAGAAAGGGGAACTAAGTCATTCAGCAAGCAGATGAAAAGTGAGACTGGCTGCCTGACTCTGAAGGAGGTACTCTTTAGGCTTCATTCAGCACCCTTCCTCTGCCCACCCCTCTCCTCGGAAAGGGTGGTTTGAATTTTCAGGGAAGTCACCAGATTCCCAAGGCTTCCTGGGTTTCTCAGGGATTGCAAGGGAGGAGGGAAGAAAGGTGGTCTGTCTCTATCACTGAATAGAAGTTCATCCAGAGGGTTGAGGTCCTGTACACTCCTAAGCAGGGCACCTGTGCAGATGTGGCTGGGAGACCCCCCATGGCCCTTCCCATCTGGGTTCTGGGTAATTTTCCACAACAGCTACTTCCGGAAGGAGAACAAAGAAAGCTGCATGCCCAGGCCAAGCCTCTCTCAGTCCAGGCCTCCCCCTCTTAAAGTAAGCCACTAATTTTACCCATAGAGGGTGTGGCCAAACAGGCTATATCTGGAGTCTGAACAAGGCCATCTTTGGGATATCATGATTCACAGAAGCCCAGGACTAGGAGGGGCTCGGTTTCCTGACCACTGATCAGACATTTCCTTTGCTACCTCCCACCAAGGGTGCCTGTCTCTGCTATACTTGTAGGAAAAGGGAGCTCACTGCTTTACCACTTAAATTCCTGAATGTTGTTGTTAGGTGCTGTCACAGAACAAAACACTGCCTGATCCTGTGCCCTCCTCACAATCCTTGCTATACCTGAGCCCATTGTTGCAGCCACTGTGTCAATCCATCTCATTGAGGGTCTTTCCCTTTTTCACTAACCTTCCACTTTACCAAGCATGATATCCTTCTCCAGGGAATGGTCCCTTCTGACAGCATGACCAAAGTAGGTGGGATGAAGTCTGGCCATTCTCGCGTCTAAAGAGCATTCTGACTGCACTTCTTCCAAGACAATTTGTTCATTCTTCTGGCAGTCTATTGTATTTTCAGTATTCATCACCAACACCACAACTCAAAAGCATCAACTATTCTGAGTCTTCCTTATTCAAGCTTGTCCAGCTTTCATATGAGTATGAGGCTAGTGAAAACATCATGGCTTGGGTTAAGTGCACCTAAGTCTTCAAAGAGACATCTTTGCTGTTCAGCACTTTAAAGAGGTCTTTTGCAGATTTTGGGAGCTCTGGGGAGTAGTGCTTAAGGCATTTGACTGCTAACCAGAAGGATGGCGGTTCAAACCCACTAGCCACTCCTCAGAAGGAAGGTTGGGCAATCTACTTCTGTAGTGATACTGCCTCAGAAACAAAAGGAGAGGTCACTATGAGTCAGATCCGACTCGCCGGCAATGAGTTTCATTTTGCAGATTTGCCCAGTATAGTAAGATGTCTGATTTCTTGACTGCTGCTTCCATTGGTATTGATTGTGGAATATGATTCAAGTAATATGAAATCTTTGACAACTTCAATCTTTTCTCCATCTATTGTGTACTAGTTATTGGTCCAGTTGTGAAGATTTTAATTTTCTTTATGCTGAGGTGTAATCCATACTGCAGACTGTTGCCTTTAATTTTCATCAGTAAGTGCTTTAAGTCATCTTCACTTTGAGCAAGCAAGGCTGTGTCATCTGCGTATCATTGGTTGTTAATGAGTCTTCCTCATATCCCATATCCCAATATCTTCTTCATATAGTCCAGCTTCTCGGATTATTTGCTCAGCATACAGATTGAATAAGTATGGTGATAGGATACAACCCTGATGCACTCCCTTTCTGATTTTAAACCATACAATATCCCCTTGTTCTGTGCAAATGACAGCCTCCTGATCTATGTATGTCCTGAATGTTAGTGCTGGTTTATTTCAATTCATATTGCTGGGACTCCTCCCCTCCTACTCACCCCACCTGGTTCTGTCCCCCAGCCGCAGGCCCAGGGTTTTGACTCTAGTGCCTTATCCAGTAGTCATAGCCAATGGCTAAAGCTCAGCCTCTTAATCATGCCCTTGATCCTCCTGCTCCCTAGGACAGACGTCAGTTTGGAGTCAGGCAGCCCCAAGTCCCAGTCCTGCTGTGGTTCCCAAGTAGCTGTGTGGCCTTGGGCAGGTCACTGTCCCTGGGGCCAGCCCTCCTCTATGTACTAGATGGGGCCTGCTGGCTACCACATCCCTCTCCAGGCCCCGATCATGACTGGATGGGAAATTTCAGCCTCTTCAGGCTCCCTTTCGGCCACCCTTTTCCCTCCTGGAGAGCCCAGCTTTCTCCTAGGGTGATGGAGGCTCTTCTGCAGGGAGAACAGGCTGATCTTAATGGCAACCTCCCAGCTAGCCTATTGAGAACATTTTAAGGCCCCTGTTTTAGATGAGGAAACCGAGGCACAGAGTAATGATATAATTAGTCCAAGATCACACAGCAGGTCTGGGCAGAGGTATAATTCAACTCAAGTCCATCTGGTTCTAAGAGCCTAAAAAGCCAACTCTAGGAAGTGAGGTTTGTCATGACCTGATTGCCCAAATCCAGAGACCTCCTTATTCTGGACTGAATTGTGTCTCACAAAAATATGTTGTAAACCCTAACCTCTATGCCTATGGTTAAATCCTATTTGTGCAAGGATTGTCTTTGTCATGCTAATGAGACAAGATTAGTGTAGGGCATATCTTGAATCAATCTTTTGAGATATAAGAGATTAAATAAGCAAGCACAGAGAGATGGGGGAGAGAGATACCAAGCCAAATGAAGACTGCTTAGGAGCAAAAGCTCAACGAGACAAGGACCTTCCTCCAGAGCCCACAGAGAGAAAAAAACCTTCCCTTCAAGTCAGCACCCTAAATTTGGATTTCTAGCCTTCTAAACTGTGAGAAGGAGTTCTGGTGGCATAGTGTCTAAAGTACTTGACTGCTAACCAGAAGGTTTGTGCTTCTAATCCACCAGCTGCTCCGTGGAAGATGGGGTAAATCCGTAAAGATTTACTGCCTTGGAAACCCAATGGGGGTTGCTATGAGTCAGAATCAACTACATGGCAGTGAGTTTGGGTTTTTGGATTTAAACTGTGAGGGGGGGGAAAAAAAAAATATATATATACACACACATATATATGTGTGTGTGTGTGTGTGTGTATTTGGGAGCTCTGGTAGCGTAATGCCTAAGGCACTTGACTGCTAACCAGAAAGCTGGCAGTTCAAACCCACCAGCCACTCCTCAGAAGGAAGATGGGGCAATCTTCTTCCGTAGTGATACTGCCTGGGAAACACAAGGAGGGGTCTCTATGAGTCGGTCCAACTCGAGGGCACATAACAAAAACAATATATATATTTGTGTGGGCGTGTGTGGTATTTCTGTTATAGGAGCACTGTTGTTGTTGTTGTTGTTTGCCGTCGAGTCGGCCCCGACTCATAGCGACCCCTCCTTGGGTTTCCGAGGCAGTATCACTACGGAAGTAGGATTGCCCAAACTAAAACAGACCTTGAGTCCTAAGGCTTCAATTCAGATCCCTTGCTTAGTGCTAGAGAAACTGAGGCTTGGGGGTGGGTGGGGTGTTGGGGGGTGGCCTGCGCCAGCTCCCAAACAGTTGGCCAGGGGCTGCAGTGACACGAAGCTGGATGAAGTGACAGGCGGAGCCCAGACCGGGGTGTGAGGGAGTGTAAAAGTGGGGTCAGAGCTGGCTCACAGGGCAAGGGCTGGGGTCCACACTTCACCCAGATGGGGCGGGGCTGTCGGACGGGAGAGGCGTGGCCTCCGCTCCCGACTCCGCCCCACCGCGCCCGCCAGACTGACCGCCGCAGCCAGGGAAACCCAGCGTCTGAGGGATTTTCCGTGGACGCCGGGCTGCCACGGAGGCCAGAGCGAGACACAAGCGCGAGGACCCGTGGGCCGTCCGGAAGAGGCGCTGCGCCATGGACGGGCCGCCCTTCAGCGAGGCGGCCTTGGAGCAAGCGCTGGCTGGGCCGTGCGAGCTGGACGCGGCGCTGCTAACCGATATCGAAGGTGCGTGGGCGCGTGGGCCTGGGGTTGGGGCGTGCAGGCCGGGGATCTGGGACAGGATTCTGGCTGACTAGCCGCTCGTCGCTGGGTAGCGTGGGTCCCCGGTGTCTCTGGGCTGTGCCCCTGGAGCAGCCTGGAGCCTCCCTGGCGTCGCGGGGCAGCGGAGTCCTCACGCCGGGCCGCGCCTCGGACCCCCAAACGTCTGGGGCGCCCGGGTCCCCGCCATCTGGGCCCCGGCTGTGATAGCTAAGACCCAGAGTTGCCGGGCCCGCCCAAGTTCCGGCAGTGACGTCAGCACGGGGTTACTCTTGGTCATTCCCTCGGGTCGGAGAGTTCACGGAGGCGCGGGAGCTCCTGCGCAGGCGCGCGGCCTGCCCCGCTTGTCCCCTCGGGTCCTTTGAGCTGGGTTGGTACCCCCTGCTCTGGGGAGCGCTGGCGCGGAAGCCCGGAGGTACTTGGTTGCATCTTGAAGTGCCTATGAGTCGGATCCGACTCATAGCGACCCTTCCTTGGGTTTCCGAGGCGGTATCACTACGGAAGTAGATTGCCCAATCTTCCTTCCGAGGAGTGGTTGGTGGGTTTGAACCGCCAGGTTTCTGGTTAGCAGTCAGCTGCCTTAAGCACTGTGCCACCAGAGCTCCCATCTTGAAGTGGGTAGAGAGTAAAGCTGCCAGAGGAGGTCTTTCTGGGAAGGGTTTTGGATTAGAAGAATGACTCTGGATTTGGGGCTAACAAGGACAGCAGAGAGACCAGTTCAAGGCTGTTGCTTCCACTGTGTGGATAGCCCCAGCAGATTGTTCCACGAGGTTGCTGTGTGGGACTTTAAGCATCAGGGGCTGAGTTGCACTTGACTGGTGGGGAAATTGAGCCCAGGGGGACCAGACTGGGCATATCTTTTGGGCATTTGGCCTCCTCAGGGTGGGCAACACAATCTGAGCCGCCCACTCCTGCCCTGCCTTTTGCAACCTTCCAGATTAGTCCAGCTGGCCATTAGCCTAGCTTTGCCAGCTTGCCTTTCTCTTTGGGCTTGGGGAGGAGAAGGCCTAAGATTAGGGAACTAATGGAGGAACTTTTCCAAGGTTGGCTGAGGGGTAGGCAGCCTGTCTCAGCCTTGGCAGGAAGGGCTGTCCTCACTGTGCTCTGGAGTGGTGAACCCCAGAACATTTGAGTTTCTAGGGCCTGACTCCATCCCAGTCTTGAGCATTGGGCCTGTAACTATGGTCCAGGAGTGAGCATGGCTGAGCAGAAGCTTTGGAGTGGCGACCTGAATATGAACACTGCTCACTTACTCTGCCATTCTGCCCAGGCGTCTCATGCTCTGGGCCTCAGTTTCCCCTTCTGGAAGAATGAGGGTGGAGTGTCCTCCCATAGGGGAGTTGGGGTAGCTGAATCAGAGATGGTGCATTGGGCTACAAGTCTGGCACAGGCTTGCCTTATCACCTCACTTCTAGAACAGTTGTCTTCCCTGGGGTCCAAATGCTAGGCCTGGGCAGTACTCAGGCCCTTACTGTAGTCTGAGTAATAAGGGGACCCACTGCAGAGGAAGAGTTTTCTGTTTTATTCAAACTGTGTGTGTTATTTTGTCAATTACACAATGAAGTTTTTTATTATAGAAAAATTAGAGAGTGAGAGTTAACTAGCAGAAGAAAATAAAATCATCCTTAAACACACTACCCAGAGATAAGCCCTGTTAATTATTTAGGAATTATTTCCTTAGTGTGTGTGTATACCCACCTATATATGTATTGTGTGTGTATATATTTTTTGGCATAGCTGTGCACTATTCATCTGCTTTAAAAAAATAACATTTTGAGGTATAATTTACATACCATAAAATTACCATAAAATATAATTTACATATCACAAAATGTATTCATTTTAAGTATACAGCTCATTAATGTTTAGTAAATTTATGACCCATGTGACCATCACCAGTTTCAGGGACTCCTCTTGTCTGTTTACGATGAATCACCATTCCTAGCCCCAGGCAACCACTAAAGTATATTTTTTATAAATTAGAATAGGGAGAGGGTATAGAGTTTCTCTTTGGGATGATAAAGTTCTAGAAATAGATAGTTACACAACATTGTGAATATAATTAATGTTACTAAAATGTATATCTTATGTCTATTTTACCACAATTTAAAAACTGTACCAATAAGAGAGAAATTAGAATGAGGTCAGCAAGCGTGGCTTGTTCTGTTCCCTGTCAGCCACCAGAGCAGTTCTTAATTGTGCATACCAGCCCCTGTACATGGATGGACATCTAGGCTGGTTTGCTCTCCTGTGTGGTGCCACATCAGATACCTTGAAGCAAGGTGAAGACCTATTGAATCTTTGGTTAGCACTACAGAATGAGACTGGGGAGGGGGCTGCTGGGTAGAGCTGGGCCTGCCTTTGGAGAAGTCCAAAGTGAAGACAACTTGGAGGGGGAAGCACAGTTCCCTGGGCTCCAAGTCCCTTGAAAGGAGTGGGGGCACCAGGATGAAGATCAGGAGGCAGTGGGGAGTGATTGGGGGCTGGTGTCTGAGCAGGGTATGTTTTAGAAGTTCCTGCTGGTGGATGGAGTGGAGGATCATAACATGAGCAGGTAGCATTTGCTGTATGCCAGGCCTGTGCTGCTGTCTTTTTAAACCTCCTGACAACCCCAGATAGGTAAGAGGGGAAGTGACCTACCCACAGTGATACAGGCAGGCCATGCAGAGCCTGGATTCAAGCTTTTAGCCCCTGTTTTTCTAAGACTGGGCAAGGAGGTAGGTTACTAAGAGATGGAGCAGGGAACTAGGGAGGTGGCTCCACGTAGGGTATACTGGGGCCTGTGAGTAGGTCCCAGAGGGATCAGAGGCCAAATGGCTGGCTGCCTCCCCTTCCCTGCCTAGAGCAACATTTGAGTCATGAGACTGGTGAATGGCCTTGGGGTGCCAGCCAAGGGCCTTGACCAAACCCTCTGTCATGTGACTAGGTTTTGGAATAGAGCCACCATCCACATCCTGCCTCTGTTGGTCAGGGAACTGCCGTGGGTTCAAATCCAGCCCTGCTCTGTCTCCTCTGGGCCTTCTCCTGTGGTGGGCACTTGGCTCCCTGTGACTGCTTAAGAGGGAAGGGGATAGGCAGCCTTGCACACATATTTGGGGTTGTAGTTAAGCCCATAGCCTGTCATCATCTCCCTGAGGATAAATTTATTGGATCTTTCACAAACTTGTAAGTGCAGAAGAGGTGAATGCAGACAGAGTTCAGGGCAGCCGGGAAGGGGGCGTCTGTATCACCTTGGGGGCTGGGCCTGGCTGAAGGGTCTCAGAGACCCTCAGGTCTCTGAGATCCTAAAATCTTGGATGGCACAGTGCCTGGAGCACCTCCAGATCTGTCTTGATCTCCCTCACCCTAGTGGCTGCCACTCTGGCCAAGCATGGCTTCCCCAAGAAGCCCTCTTATTTCTTCCTTCTGCTCTCCTTCCTCTCTTCCAGCCCAGGAGGTCCCTCCCAAGGTGCCTAACCCCACCACAAGGGAGGCCTTTCCTCTGAAGGCCCAGGCCAGTCCCAATGGAGAGGGCACAGGAGGGCCACATGCTACCCATCCCTCTCCCCAGGGCATCTGTGCCCCCAGATCTTACCCTGGCAGCACCAAACACAGACACTCTGCGACACTGGGAAACAGACACTGGGAAAACCAGTTCTAGATTTGTCACTGCCCAGTGTAGTGCTCTGGGTTCATAACTCCCCAGCTCCCAAATCATCAGTGGCTCCCCAGTGTTCCCAAGATGCTCTTGGGAGCAGTGCTCTTATCTTCAGAGTGGCTTTAAGCTTTGCATTATTTTGCCAAACCTGCCCCTCCTGTAGCATTTCTTCTGTCCATGGGTACACTCATGTCTGCCCTGGCATTTAGTTCCTTCTTCCTCACCCCATGTCCATCATCCCTCAGGCCTGGGGTCCAGTCTACAGACATGCTTTTCTTGCCAACCTTTTTTGCCTTGGCACAGCAGAATGATCTCCCTGTGTGGCCATGAATGGTGATTCCCCTAGGAAAAGTGCCCTGCCTCTCTGAAGTTCAGAGACTCTGAGCCCCTATTCCAGCCCTAATGTCACTGAGGACCTATTCCAGCCCTAATGTCACTGAGGAGACTGAGACAAGGAGGAGGGTGCTGGGAGTGAGTCCCAGGAAGGCTGGCAGTCCTGGCTGGGAGTTACCTCTTGCCCAACTGTTACCCAGCCAGACACAAAACACCCTCACTGACTGGTCAGCTCTAGGCAGGGGTCACTGCTGGATAGAGGCCTGAGACTTTGCCCTGCTGACAGGTGTGGCCCAGATGGGAATGGCTGCCCGGCCAGAGGAAGTATCTCTGACCTTGTCCCTGACAGCTACAAGCCCTGTCGGTTGTGCCCTCTTACCCCAAGAACTGACCAGAGGCACACAATGTGCAAGACCCACATCCCATGAGGTTCCACAGAGTTGGCTGTAGTAGGACAGGGAGAGCCTGATAAATGCATAGGTGGGGTCCTGGTGAGAGGAGGGGAGGCTTACAGGCTGATTTTGGGTTTGGTGGGAGGTGGGTCAGGACAGAAAATTTGTGGCATGGAGAGACCCACCCTCACTTGGAACCAGCTCACGTCCTTGCCCCAGTTGACCTCCCAACAATCCCCCTGCAGAATTTGCTTCTCGTAGGGGAGCTCTGGTAGCATAGTGCCTAAGGCACTTGACTGGTAACCAGAAGGTTGGCGGTTCAAACCCACCAGCCACTCCTTGGAAGGAAGATGAGGTAATCTACTTCCGTAGTGATAGGGCCTCAGAAATCTAAGGAGGGGTCTCTACGAGTCGAGTCAGGACCTACTCGACGGCACATAACAACAACAACAACAGGGGAGCTCTGGGAGCTCTGGTAGCGTAGTGCCTAAGGCACTGGACTGCTAACCAGAGGGCTGGTGGTTCAAACCCACCAGTAACTCCTCAAACCCACCAGTAACTCCTCAGAAGGAAGTGGGGCAATCTACTTCTGTAGTGATACTGCC